ACCTAGCATGCATGAAGCCCTAGATTCATTTCCTCAGTACCACATAAACAGAAAAAGCCAGAAGTGGCGTTGCGGCTCAAGTGGTAGAGTGCTAGCCTTGAGCAAAAAAAGCTCAGGGACAGTGTCCAGGCCCTGTGTTCAAGTCCCAGGATAGGAAAACAAAAGAAAGGAAGGGAGAAAAGGAAGGAAGGAAGGAGGGAAGGAAGGAAGGAATCCATTTGCAATAATAGCCTAAAAAACAAAATGCCTAGGAATAAACCTAGCCAAAGATAAAAGATCTTTGTTGTGAAAACTATAAAAAGCTGAAGAAAGAAATCAGAGGACACTAGGAAATAGAAAGACCATGCTCATGGATAGGTAGAATCAATATTGTGAATATGGCCACACTGCCAAAAATGAGACACAATTCAATGCAATTCTCATCCAAATCCCATTAATGGTCTTTACTGAGATAGAGAAAGCAACCCAAAAATTCATATGGAACAACAAAAGACCTATAATAATCAAAACAGTTCTAGGCAAAAAATGAAAGCAGTGTGGGTGGTATCATAATACCAGACTTCAAACTCTACTACAGAACCATAATAATAAAAACTACTTGGTAATTGGCACAAAAATAGATGGGAAGATCAATGGAATTTTCTGGAAGACCCAGAAATAAAACCATACACTTACAGTTATCTGATATTTGATAAGGGACACAAAGACATTCAATGGAGAAAAAATAGCCTCTTCCACAGTTGGTGTTGGGAAAACTGGGCATCCGGGATCCCAGTTTGTCACTGTGTACTAATATCAATTCGAAGTGGATGAGATCTCAATGTCAGACCCAAAACTTTGAAACTACTGCAAGAAAGAGTAGGAGAGACATTAGAGCTTATAGATACGGGTAGAAACTTCTTGAATGGAATCCCAGGGACACAGCAGATAGGAGAGAAACAAGTAGGACTGCATCAAAATAAAAAGTTTCTGTTCAGCTAAGGACATAGTTACTAAACTAGAAAGATAACCAACAAGATCTTTACCAACAACATATTAGACAAAGGCCTAATACCCAATATATACAAGGAGGTCAAGAAACGACCCCCCACCTTAACAACAAATCCTCAAAGAAACAGCTGCCCAATAAATAAGTGGGCTAAAGACTTAAAGAGAAACTTCTCTGAAGAAGAAAGAAGGATGGCCAATAGACACATGAAGAAATGCTCAACCTCCCTA